CTAATTTACTCGACAACAGCAAAAGCAAATAAAATGTTACATTGCACCTTTTTGGTATTTGCAGTGACATTAAAGTCAAAAATTTTCTATAGTTGGTTTTTAAGGATTAGTTTTGTTTTTACGAGCTGATCACGGACTGTTATCAGTTAGAGAAGCATTGAAAACCAGCTAGGGAGTACTGGACAGCTGTTTGATCTCATTAGTTTGAGAATCATCGACAGTACGCACCCACACCAACAGGGTTCGAACCCAGGACAACATAGTAATTTGTCATTAACACCCTCTCTGTCACATAGAACGCAATCGGGCCAAATATGGTGTTGTTGAGTTTCTGTACCTGGCTGTACGAGGATATAGCCTTTTATAATGACTTTTAGTCCTCTACCTGATGAGATGCAAGGCAGGGAGAGTTGTGAACAGAAACGGTGTTGAGATTCAGACAATATGGATTTATTCCATTTGTCACATGAGTTGTTCAGGTGTCTATCGACCACAGTAGTAACGAGCTAGCTAAATAACTGGTACACCACATGCTCTACTGACAACCTTTCATACCCTTCACAATACCACGATAAACTAAGGACAGTGGAGCATTAAAGAACGATTGGTAAGATGCAAGAGTTAAGAAAAATTGTAAAAATAGAGGTTGAATGATTCCAGATTGTCTTAACTTTTCAATGTTGTAGGTTACACAAAACATTTTCAGAGGATAGAGCTATTCCAAGTTTCGGGAACCATCTAGTAACTGAGTACCCGTAACAAGACCTACAAAATCCCTTGTATGGTAAACTCTATGGTGTAGGTATCTCACGGAGAATAATCGCTTATAACCCGAACATCCGTCCGTGTGCATTACTGTTCCAAGTAAAAACCAGTCATTGAATAGCTGGAATGACTACAGATCCACTTCTATTCAATACTGTCTTCAAAAATCTCTTCCTTAGATTGATGTCATAAAGTCCCGTATGGTTCGCCGACATTGATATAAGAATAAAACTTGGACATTGCGGTAGAGTATAACTCCATTATGGATAAAGTTTTATTTTGATAAAATCACACAGTGTTGCTAAACAGTAATATTTACTGATGACCACGTTTCGAGCACAATTTTTTTACTGCCCATAATCATATCAAGGCACTACTCACACAACTCACCTTCTTGCTTCATATATATACATGAGTAAAAATTGATGATTAGACATTTGAATAAAATCAATAATATAAGATAAAGTACATTCGGGAATAATAATATGAGTGTTATTCATCAAATACAATCAGATGGGAAACTAAGAATTATAACACAACGTAGGGCCCTACGTAGGGTTCTCAATAAAGAAGGAATTGGGGTGGCATTCAAACCTACTAACTCACACAGAGACAAGTTCTGTGGGCTAAAGGACCCTGTTGGTTGACCAAATTAAACTAAATAATATCATTTACAAAATGCCATGCAATGACTGTGGGTGAGGTCAACTACATAGGTCAGTCAAACTAGTAGATCAGGAGTAGTGAGATTATCAGAACATAAAAATTTAGCTAAGGTAAGAATGATTGATCCCATTAATGAAGATAAGTAATTTAGAAAAATACTCAGCAATACATTGCACTGCACACAACCACACAATGGAGTGGGTGGGACGGAGCCAAAATTCTAAGAAGTAATATAAGTAGATAGAGAGAGAAACAGAGATTGATTACTGAATCCTACCTGGTTCATCGAGTCTATACACCTAACACAACACATGCAACAGAAATGACTCAACGCAGATACCAGAGATATGTATGGAAGATATTATCACCACCAGTCAAATCAGAGGAGGATAATAAATAATGTTAAAATGTATTCAATTCACATATATTATAACATTCCAACAAGTTACTTATTTTTACTATAAAAAGCATCTTATTTCCCATCTGATTGTAATTGATCAATAACACTAATATTATTATTTCTGAATGTACTTTATCTTATATTGATTTTTATTCAAATGTCTAATCATCAGTTTTTACTCATGCACATAAATGAAGCAAGAAAGTTGTGTGAGTAGTGACTTGATGTGATTATTAGCAGGAATAAATTGTGCTCGCGAGGTGGTCATCAGTAAATATTACTGTATAACAACACTGTATGATTTTATCAAAATAAAATCTTGTCCATAATGGAGTCATCCCCTGTTGTTGACCTAACAGGACGCTGCATAACCCAATTATGCATAATACATAACACAGTATACCATCCCAACTTAAGAAACCGGTGAGGGGGGGACTGACTGGTTTCAATGTAGAACTTTGCACAGATATACAGCAGTTCAAGTCGCCACACTCCCTCCGCGTAGCACACAAAGCAAGAGAAGAAAGTAAAAAGCAACGCAAAATAGAGACAGTAAACAGAGATATAAGGCAAAATGAATACTAATGTGGAAGAACAATAGAGTCTCATTGGAAATGATAAATCACAAACAGTAGTGAATGCATCTGAGCCATCATTGACAACGATTTTGACCCATATCACCAATTTTCTCTAGATTTCATTGGTTTTTACCGTCCCGAGGACCCCAACCAGTCAGGAAGCCTACACTTTTCTACGTGGCTGGCTGGTTTAAACTAACTGCCGTAGATTTCATTGACTGATGCCATGGGGAATAGGGATGCAACAGCAGTAAGGTGTTTCCCTCAGATGACCAGCATGTCAGCCAGCTATGTTGTCTCTCAACTCTGATGGAGAGAGGAGGTTAGAAAAGATTGACCCCAAAATTATACATCCCGACTTATCCCACCTACGGTGGTCCGTAGCCGACTTTAAGTTACTAATACGGAGCCCAAAGCAAAAGAGCCAGTTCAGACTGGCTGTGTGTGACTGGCTGGCCTCGAGCAGTTGTCCCCTGGGCTGTGCCGTCACACAACACTAATTCCATTTCTATTTCAGGTACCCTGAAAATAAATCAACTTCCACGGTATAAGCAACGAGGAAGTAACAGTCAGCCACCCACTTCCAAAAGCAGCACACCAAGCCCTCTTGATCATCATTCTCCTTTATCCCTGTCACCCTCAACATCTTGCTTCCCTACTACTGTCAGTAATATTCTGCAGTGGGGTTGGGGGGGGAGTAGAGTGAGAACCATTTGGCAGATGAATTTAATATGCAGATTTTATTAATTGGTGATTCATAAACGTCATTCGAAATACCCTATGTAAGTCTAAGTGGGGTAACATCAATTAAAACCTTAAGAATCCAGGTAGATCCTTCCGAATGGTCCGAAATGAGGGAAAAGGGGATGTCCTATATCTCATGACTACCAACTGACAACTAAATAGGTTGGTAATAAAATACAAAATTATTTAAACTATAAATATCTTATATCTACCCTAAAAAACGACTTGATACGGTCGACGGTGGTCAGCTTTCAATCTATCTCTCCCTCGAAATACTACCGGTCATGTGGTCAAAACGCATTCATAGCCATTGTCAAGTAAGTCTTATTCACTGCTTTCATGTGACGGGGGATGTTCTTCACAAAAGTATAAAGGCGTATTCCAACGTTTGGTACTTACAACCCGGATTGACAGACATACCTATGGGAGTTGGATATTCTTGACTCCAAATTTATGACGTACATGGGTTCCTCAGTCCGAAACGATCAAATGGTGTATGAACCTATTTTGGCCACTGGGAACATAACCCCCTGACGCTGTTCCACTGCCTTGAGCTAAAGGGTGGCCGCTACTGCTTTGGTTTGGTCATTCAGGGAAGTATCCCAGAGGTCACATAAACTATGAGATTTTGTATGTGTGAAGCTTCGGCAGGTGCCTTTAATGTACCAATCTTATAGAGATGACTTTTAAACTAGGATATCCCACTACACAAACACTCTCTCTCGCCCTAGAATGTTTTGTCTTTGAAAACGAACACTGAACCACCTTATTGATTTTCTTTCAAACTAACATTTCAGCCGAAAGAAAAAATTAGCTGGGACATCTGTTGAGATACCTTCTCCGACATATTCCTACAAAATTCCCGTTTTAATGCCATTTCCCATCTCATAATAGATTGACAGATAGGTAGACAGACAGACACGCATACACACATAAGACCGGTATGGAAAAAACAAAGATGAGATGAATGTAGGCGGTACTGTTGAAGAGTCCCGAACTAGGACGAAACAGCTGGTTGTTTTTCCAATAGTTCTTTAACTGATGTCAGCTCATGATGAAATCCTCCAGCAAAATTTTAAAAAAATCCCTACAAAAACCAATACTTGAAAATGTAAAGGTATATCAATTAATATTATTGTCATTTTATAATATTGCCATACTCAAATAGCATAATTCTTTTTATTGAGACACACAGGTAACAAAAGTGTTGCTTATCTCTCATCCTCTTCTCTCTTCTCAATCCCTTATTCTGGCTATATTTATTTGTGTGTGTGTGTGAACTTGTGTTTGTCAATAGACCTTACTGACTAACTAACTAACTAACTGACTGACCATAATAAAGTAGTAATGAAAGGGATGTCCGCTCCAGTGAATCTGATTGGTCAGCTTACGAAAAAAAAGACATGCATGTTAAATGACATTCTATTATCCTATTCGTCAATTATATGCATTAGAACAAGTTATTCTTAAAATAATACGAATTTTTAAAAAATGTATATCATATATTATATATTATATTCAATATATGTTATGATTAGCGTTATTAGTATTAATATATTAGGAGTAGTAGTGATGAATACAGACACACGCGTACATGACGCACACACACACGCACATATGTTTAATATCAAATACAGAGGCGAGAGGGAGGGGGAGAGTTAGTTGAAATGTTATGCTATCTCACCCCCCCTCCACACACACCACCATTCGATTATGGCTTTCGCATAGAGAGGATGATAATCATTTATAAAAAAGTTGTGGAGACGGTTATTTGTCCCACGCACATATACACGCACATACAATGTGGTGAGTCCATATAAATTGAATTCGGCATCGAGTATTCTCGCATTTTGTTGTTATTGTTGTTGTTGTTGTTGTTTATGCGACCGACCGACTGTCAATCACAATGTTGAATAGTACCTTTAATCAAAGTGATCACAATAATAGCCCTCATCAAGATCATTCGGACCATCATCATCATCAGCGTCATCAGCCGACAACATCAACACTTCGAAAAAGAAGGCATAAACATAAATTAACACAAAGGAAAAAAGCATATTGGATTAAACAATTGAATCATTATCTCCGTTGTATGGATTATCATAATATTAGTGATTATTTACGTTTTCGTAAAAATTTGAAGACAGCAGTATCATCAGGAAATCCTCGTATCGATTTTAAAACATTTCATCAGTTGGAAAATTATTTCATAAAACATTATAATTATTGTTGTTGTGGTAGTTCAGTGCGGGAGAAAAGGAGTATGCGAAATCATGATGAACCATTGTCTGATGACAGTAATCCGGGAACCGGAACACGCCTTCTTAATCAGTATGTCAATGCCTGGAATGGTGGGAGGATTGTCTGGGACAGCAATTCTTCTTCGCATGGTGAGTATGATGGTGACAATTTGAAGGAACATTTTAAACAGCTTGTTAAGCAGTCAAATAGGAAAAGTAAGTTCCCGTGGTACAACCGTTTTGTTTTGTTTTTCCTAAATGTTTATGAGGCTAGTAGGGGGGATTTTACGTCTTATCCTGTGACTAATAATGATAATAGTAATACTAATAGGTTTATTCTGAACAGTGTTCAGCGGAGTTTATTGCTTTTCGTTCACGATCTTCAAATATAAAAGATCTGATTGACAGTAAGTGGAGATCGTGTGATACAGTTCTATCTGACCTAAAGCGGAAACCAGTCCATCATTATGACGTCTCTTCTTTGTCTCCTTCGGGGAATTTAGGAGATTTGATTGTATACCAGTCATAAAAGGTTCAGGGGTACATTTTGTCAATTAAGGACACCACTTAGAAACTGTCATCTCATGTACTGAGATAAGCTGCCATCCATTGAGCTGGATAATGCTCCTTCTTCTTCTCATGTTTAATAGAAACTTCCAAATCATCAGGTTGTAAATGTTTTAAATACTCGTCAGAGAGTAAACAATACTGTTAGAGGTTATATTATCACCATGACGATCACACTCTGGTTCTCATTTTTACTAAGGAATGTGTTTGAATTCATTTCAGACTTTTTCTAGGTACGACACAGTTGATACTACTATTCAACTGTGTCTAGACTGTAGTGGATTGAGTAGATTTCAAGCATGGAACGATCTAAAGATGTTTAAGGACTCCGGTAGGAAGATATATAAGTAACGAAAATCGATATTTTTAAAGTGCGTTCACGTACGAAATCTTTAATTGATTAGTTATGTGTAATAGAACAATATGGATCCATCATTTTTTTATTTCGTGGTTTCTCTTCAACTGCATTCACCTTGTTTTGTTTGATACATTGGGTTATAAGACGTAAGTGTGATAAGCTTTTATCTTAAAGAATTACAATATATCGATTTTCTATGTGAACGAAGTCTCTTCTAAGAAGAAATTATTGACAACTCTAAACACAATTAGATAATTTTCAAGAGTTGGTTTTTAAGGATTAAACATTTTTTATGAGTATGACCGCAGATTGATATCATCAGTTAGAGAACCAATGAAAACCAACAGGGACTACTGGACAGCTGTTTCGTCATTCTAGTTTAGGGATCACCGACAGTACTCACCCACCACCAGGGGTCGGATCCAGGACCTACCTTCCGGTTACAAGGCAAGCTGGCTCGTATACCATTCAGCCACTGGTACCCAACCCAATGGTCAGCCCATTAATTTTAACTCCTAACACTTCGTGATTTAGCGCGACTGGCACCAACCAATGTCATCGGTGGGAAATCCATCATCACACACTTGACGTCTGGATGGACCTCACTGGTCACGACTTCTCACTAGAACTGCAGGAAACTCCGTCCTTCCTGTAGCTAGTCGTCACTAGCAAGCCTCATATTAATTTTCAATATTTGGTTTGTAATCAGTAGTGTTCTCTGAGCTGGTTAGTTTAGTTGCAGAGCTTTCGTCGTCCCCTCTTCTAGACAACCTCCCCTTTCAGCGCAATTCTTAGCATAAAGTGAACTGATTTAAATTTTCTATGAGTGATAGAATTGCATCTCCCGGGAAACCACCTTTACATGTGTATTGATCATCATTTTTATTATTGACTTGGATTTTAAACTTGGTATGTAGGGATTAAATTTGTTTTTACGAGTTTGACTACGGATTGATATCATCAGTTAGAGAACCAATTAGATAAGTCAATGACAGTTAAGTGATAGGTTATATTAAAATAAACTAATAAAATGTGAGTAGAACTCAAAGGATTGAAAATCAATCGATCAAAGAGTGTGATGCAACTGAATGGAAACAGAGAGTTACTAAGGTGGATTATTCAGTATCTTTTTTGACACACATGAATCAGGTGTCAACACTTCTATTACAAGACGGGCTTGGTTATTGTGTCAGCGAATTATCCTCTATACTCCCAACATGTCTACTTGGTTTCCTCTGTCTGTTAGATGTTTAATGACTGTGGAAATCTAATCGAATTTTATTTGACTCTTTTCAGTCACTTTCTATTGCCCCCCCCCCACCTCCTACCCGAAAAGGAACAAATGCTAAATTCTATACAGAATGAGGCGGCTGTATCTCATTGGTCAAGGCGTTCAACTTTTAATCTGTATGTTATGGCATTGAACCCTGCGCCACCTACACACACACACACAGCAGATGGGACTTATTCCCAGTTGTGCATGGACTCATAAATGGCTTTTGAGTATGCAAAATGACGCAACATTTACACACGACATTATTAAAGTGAAGGGAATATTGAATTAAAAGTTAGGATTTATCGGTTCAGTAAAGACAACACAAAAAATCGATAAAATCAATATAGTACATCCGAGTATTGTTACCGATAGTGCATTTTATATTTTAAAATCGATAGTTTTTTCTTCTTTCGTGGTAGTACTCATGATGAAAACATTTAGATGATGTAATAATCGGTAATGATTGTAGGTGGATTGAAAAAAAATACAACTGGAGGACGGCAGGACTCAAACTAGAGACCCACAACCAGCTGTCATTTGAATAAATGCTGCCTATTATGTTACTTTCGGTTAACTACAAGCACTGACTGTCCAACTGTTCAAGTTTTCTCACACTAGGGAGAAGTCGTCGACTCAACCTGATGGATGACGTCAAACTCCAACTAAATGACATGACATGATGACTGGAGTGCATGATAGAAATCCCAAAAGTTTCAAGAATGTCTATATGAATGACATCGTGTGTATTTTCTCTATCTATCTAGACAGTTGGGAATAAAGATGAAATCATATAGGTTATTCACTTATTGATTTTTCCCTCTCACTTTCCCTACTTTTTTTTACTAGTATCAACTTTTTTCATTGCTGCGGTTAGTTAGATACCATCGGTACACAGGTACACATAAGTACGCTTTAACAAGTGGTACTTCTTCCAAATAACTTGATTTGACCTCAATACTGCACGGTTATTTTTCTCCATTTATGGAGTTTTGTCACAATTCAGGTCAACTCAACTCAGCTAAAACGGTTGGATGGCAGATTTGTAGCCATAGAAAATCAAATGACTCTTGCCTATAAAGAACTGTACATGTCAAAATCACGGTCTAACGGAATCCTCTTGCAATATCATTATTATCCGCTGAATAATCTTTGATGTCCAACAGGACAAGCCGGAATAGCTCAGTGGTAACGTCTCTGACTGCAGGCGGCACTGGGTGACGTGGGTTCGAATCTCAGAAGGGACATGAGTTCCTTCGAGGTGGTTGCAGATACGCTTGCCTTGCTAACTGGTGAGTGCCAACTAGCACGAAACCTAGGTCAGGCTGGGCTTCTTACCGATTACCCCCAACTATCTAATAATGCAGACAGAATGGGATGATTTTTCGAAGGAACTTCATTGTAGTACTGACAATAGTAGTGTAACAACAGAAGGCAAGACACAGAAGCCAAGGTATATTTTTCATTAATCAAACCACTGTTCATATATATATATATATATATATATATATATATATATGAAATGTGGGAATATGTGAGAACCATATTCTGTTGGAACAATATTGTCTGTATCACACCACCACACTAGTATGATAATGGTGATAGGAAATTTGCGCTTTGTTCGAAATGCAGCATTATCTCAACCCTTCATTGATTTCATCTGGCAAATAAATCCATATGAATTAAATTGTGTGAGTAGATGAGGTGTGATATAAGGACTGTATGGGACGGATTCGAACTATAGACCTCTAACCACATAAAATAATGACGAGCATCAATACGGATTAAAATGAGTAGGTGTGATGAGTGAACAACTAGAGATCTATGACATTCAGGGAAGACTTGATTTCTTTCTTATCGTTAAGAAGGTATTCATTTTCATCAAATAGGAAACGTGATTTAATTACGTAACAAGAACAAGATAGTGATTGCCCACTCTCCCTAATTCAAAATGCTCATTTTGTCACATTTTTTCTTAGTGTCTATGTGAAGTGGTGCAGCGGGTAAAAACTTGTTCATCACTTGACTTTTAAAAATGATGCGTAATCCGATAGATAATGCAATAAAAGCTAACATCCTGACTTGTTGTTACCATGGTAACTGGTTAGATAAGAGAAGTCAATTTTTTTCCAGTTCAAGCCTTATCGTTACACCAAGTGTCATGCATGCAAACCCAGATACATACAGAAAAGGGATTGCTCAGTCTTTGAAACTATAGATTGGAGGTTAGCAGTGTAGTCCAGCATGTAGATGTCTCTTTTTGCTGGCTGTGTAATTTTGACCATCCTCGACACCTACTTCAAAAATCTTCTCATAGGCATGGATTAAATAATCCCCCACACTTCTCTTTCCTCTCTATCCTCTACTAACCCTCACTATAATAAAATTATCTTTAAGTCACTTATTACCATTATTAATATTATTATTATTACTAAAATTTGAATTTATTATTGATCGATTAGACACTTAAAGTAATCAATAAACCTGTATAGACATCTTAATATACATTCATATTACCCCTACCTTTTATGAACTATAAGTCTAATTAAATTATCTTTAAGTAACTTTTATTATTATTATTATTAGGATTCAAATTTGAATCTATTACTAATCGATTAAACACCTAAATTAATCAATAAATTCCTTCAGACATTATATTTTAGCATGTATAATGGGGAAGAGCAAATAACTAGCCCCCCTACCTAAGCAGCTGATCGAATACTGGGATGATGCATATTGCTCAGCCAGTTCTATATTTTTTTATACATATTTTTTAATGATTATGGAATCAAGAAAGAGTTCAGGGAGGGGGAGGGGCAGGGGTTACGCGTATATTCCTCAACTCAGAATATGCACCTGGGTCTCTAATGTTATAATAAAAAAGAAATTGATTTGAATAAATGATTTGAACACCTGTCATCTGTCTTTCTCAATGCACGTGCACCTTATATTAGTATTGGTATTAGTATTAGTAATAGTAGTGATAGTGATAACGATAATAATGATGTTTGTAACGTA